TGAGTAGTCTGTGAGGCTTGACCATCTCAGTTGGCAACTTTAAAGTTGTTCTGGATACAGAATTTTGAGGTAACTTCAAGAGAGTCATGCTGAAAGGCTTGTTCACCTGGGCTACTTTTTCATGGCTGTCTGGTCCTTTTTTTCTGGAAACATACAAACTATTAAAAGCAACATATATATCTGTATTAGCACAGTATGGAATGTGTAGTATGCACAAGTCAGCTAAAGAAGATTCTTTTATTTTACGTTTGAACAGGTAAAAGGAATCTGTTAACTTTATAAAATTTTCAGACTGTATAAGCAAAGCTTTATCCATGCCATATGAAGGGACGGCATGTACTAATTACTCACGGGTACTCTGGAGCTTGCAGGATTTAACATGTCTCATCTCACCCCAAAGCTGATCCCATGTGGAGGGTCAGCATATATGTCACCTGTATTGTTGTTTTTCTTCATATTTATAGCCAAGATTTCCAGGAGGTCTTCCCTAAACAAATCCCAACTTTATTAACTTTGAAGGAATCTATAGTTTGGTTTACTGTGGAAACAAAAGCAAAACCCATCCCCCAGCACAACATACTTTTTCACTTTCATTCTGAAGTTAAGACATTTTTAAAATATGTAGGTTGGTTTAATTTAGCAGTTTCCATAAGTGAATGTCTCTCAGCAGATTTTCTTTTTTGTTCATTAGCTTTAAAAAAATCCAAAGTTAATAAAACACCCTACAGGATCCAGATACCCTGTGTATTTTCCAACTTTATGTGTATTTTTCCTTTTATATTACTTTACTCTTTCTTTAAAGACATTATTATTACTAACCATTTATTTATTTTTTTATTTTTATTTTTTAATCATGGATTCTTTTTTTTTAATTTATTATGTATACAATATTCTGTCTGTGTGTATGCCTGCAGGCCAGAAGAGAGCACCAGATCCCATTACAGATGGCTGCAAGCCACCATGTAGTTGCTGGGAATTGAACTCAGGACCTTTGATAAAGCAGGCAAAGCTCTTAACCTCTGAGCCATCTCTCCAGCCCCCCATTCATTTATTTTTTTAATGACAGGTTATACTCATTCTCTTTTCTTCCTCCAACATCTAAGCACAGTTTTTAGCACACTGTAACTGTTCAGGGGCTTTAGCCTGGTCGAAGCTGCATGTCTGCAGCTGCACACTTTCAGTGTTCTCTGACTGCAGGACAGAAACCTTAAGTTGTTAATTGGTGGCTGGGCCCTCTGTGGACAGTTTCACTTAGCACAGAGTCTAGTGACTGACTCTATCCACTTCAGGTTGGTGAGAGTGCAGCCTCATGCCTGCCAGCCCAGGCCTGGTGCCAGTCTATCTAGCCTAGTTCTGGGAAGCTTCTGAGTGCATGCTGTAGTAGGCATTTCTACTTAGTCATTCTGCCATCCAGTAGTGTTCTGTCTGCTACTCAAAAGCTGAATCCAAGTGCTCAGTAGCAGGGCATCTTAAAAGAGCCATGCCTCTGTATGCTGCGAGCACTGAATCTATTTGAAACTTGTTTTTCTCAGTTTTTTGAGACCCTAATGTGGATTTACATGCTGGACCATGTGTTACATTTGTAGTAGATTTTCTTGTCTGACTATCTTTGAACCTAATCAAAGATATTTTATCTTTGAAATAAAGACCTGGAGACTTATAATTATGAAAGTCTGGTCTTTAGCTTAGGCTTGTCCCCAACAAGCTCTTATAACGCAGATTAACACATTTATATTAATCTATGTTCTGCCACGTGGTACTACCTCTTTTCCATCTTGCACCTCTTGTTTTTTTCTGTCTCTGACTGGCAATGCTGACATTCTTCTTCCCAGCATTCTCTCTCTGCCAGGAAGTCCCAACTATACCCCTTCCCTGGCTATTGGCCATTCAGCTTTTTATTACAGCAATCACAGCAAAATATCTGCAGACATTGTACAAATATCCCGCAACAGTTGTGAGGTTCAATGTTAACTGTCATTTACTGCACAAAGAAGCTTCTTTGATGAGAGATCACTCATCTATGGTTATAGCATAGCCATTACTGGTCAGTTTGATACTGAGTTTGTTTAGCAAAAAATAGTGGTCAATTCTCCCCTTGGGTTCTTGATTTATCTAGCCACAAGCTCATGGATAATGGTGCTGGACAAGGATTGCATCTTATAGAGTGGGGCTTAGCCCAATTAGAATGTGGTTGGTTATACCCACACATTCATGCCACCATTGACCAGGTAACAAGTCTTGTCAGGTCCAGCCTAAAAACATTTTTTTTTATTTTTATTTATTTATTAAAGATTTCTGTCTCTTCCCCACCGCCGCCTCCCCTTTCCCTCCCCCTCCCCCAATCAAGTCCCCCTCCCTCGTCAGCCCAAAGAGCAATCAGGGTTCCCTGCCCTGTGGGAAGTCCAAGGACCACCCAACTCCATCCAGGTCTAGTAAGGTGAGCATCCAAACTGCCTAGGCTCCCACAAAACCAATACAGCCTAAAAACATTTGTGCATGTTTCTTCATTCATGAGGTTTGGTGTTTTATGTCAGAGTAAAGATTCCATCTATTACCAGAATCCAAAGATTTACATCTGTGCTTTCTTCTAGAAGTTTGTTAGTTTTTTAGACAGGGTATTCCTTTGGAGCCCAGCTGGCCTAGAACTCTGTATGTAGACCAGACTGGCCTTACACTCACAGACATTTGTCTGCTTTTGCCTCTCAAGTTCTGGGATTAAAAGAATGCACTGCCACATGCAGTTTTTCTAAGTTTTGTGGTTTTACATGTGGATCTATATCACTTTGTGTGTGGTGTGAGACACAGATTGTCTTTCACTTTTTGTACAGATGTAGGTTTATTCACATACTAACAAGCTGGTCAGTCTCCACTGTATTGCCACTGGGCCTCTCCAAAAGTGATCTGGTCACTAATGTGTAGACACTTCTTGTAGCACCTGTGATTCTATTCCTTTGATATATTTGATGTCCTTTAATCCAACACACTATTTGGTTATCATAGGTACGTGTTGAAATCACTCCCTCTCCTAACCTGTTCTTTTCAGGACTATTTTGACAATTCTTGAACATGTTCAGTTACATATGACTTTAAAAAAATCTCTGAGCATCAAATAGTAGCCCCTTTCCAAAGCAGTCAAGTGTCGTGCCACTGAGCTCAACTGGCAGATGTCCTTGGAAATGTTGGGACCATTATGGACAAAACACGTCCAAGGGTCCTGCTGTTGACCCATTCTCAGGACAATTAACCTCTTATTTTCTTTCTTTCTTTCTTCTTTTTCTTTGGTTCTTGTTTTTTATCGAGACAGGGTTTCTCTGTAGCTTTGGAGCCTGTCCTGGAACTAGCTCTTGTAGACCATTCTGGCCTCAAATTTACAGAGATCCACCTGTCTCTGCCTCCCAAGAGCTGGGATTAAAGGTGTTTGCCACCTCTGTCCAGCGAGAATTACCTCTTAATAAAAAAAAATCTGTGCCTCTTGAACCTAGTATCTCCATGTCTATAGACTACTTCATTTTCTCAAGAACATTTTGTAGATTTTAGATACTTTACCAGATATTTCAGATATTTATCAAAGATTTTTATCAAATTTTGAAATTCATTTCTTACTTATTCACCAAGCTTTTCATAACTTGATTTTTATCCCAGTGAAGTTATCATTCAGACAATTTTATTCATAAAATAATTATAGTGCACCAAAGGAAACTTTCATCTGCCGTGTCTTTTTCCTCCACATGGGGGCAGTGGTGAGCGTCAGCAGCCATTGGAGAGTTGGGAAGTTGGGAATAGCTGCTGAAGGCTCCAGGCCTCCTATCTGGGTCTCTCTGCAGTATCTTTCCCTGCACTGCCTCTTGTGCGGTCAAACATTCAGAATAAAGGTGGCAACCTCAGCGATCCCTAGGTGTGTAGACTGAGGGTGTCTGTACAGGACCTTGCAAAGAGGAGAAAAGCAAGGATGGACACAGCTGCACTTCATTTCGACAAAGCACACAGATTTCAATCACTATACACTGTCCCACTCTATAGTTCCCTGTGAAGTCACAACATAAGCATACGATGCTGGTTCATCAGATCACAAACTTGCTAAACACTGACCCAGATCCTCTTGGTGAATGAGTGGGTTGACCAGGGGATGGATGCTGATTGGCTCTAGAGCAGAGACCCCTTGCACCACAGGCAAAGATAAACACTGTTCAAAGAGGAGGAGATGGGACACCAAGGAGGGAGGGACACAAGGAGTTACAGAAGAGTTTGGCTGCCACATAACAGAGGACAGTGACAAGAAATTGTGTTTGAGTTTCATGCTGTTGCTGGGACAAGCACTGTGACCAAAAGCAACTTAGGGAAGGAGACAGGTGACAGGTCACAGTGCATCACAGAGGACAGTCAGGACAATGGAGGATGAGTGAGCCAGGGAGCGGTGGGGGGCAGCGTCCATCTTGTAGGCTGTGCCTGTGGCTGGGCCAGCTGTTCACGAGAGCTCCAGCCCTCTGGACTGGAGGCCTGGGACGGTCATGGGGGCAGAAAGTGGCACTAGGCAAGACAATTTCTGTGCAAGGAAAATGACATTGTGAGGTCGGGGTCTGGCACATGTACGTATGTGCTCATATTGCACACAGAGCACACACAAAATAACAGAAGCAGGAAAACAAGCTAGGGTTGATGGTGGCTTAGAGCAAGTAGGGGCGAGTTTAGGAATAGAGTAACAGATGCAGTTCAACAGAAGGGTCTCAGATGGCAAAGCTGGAGGTCTGCCCGACGTCCTTGGGAGCACTGAATGGGAAGCACCTGTGTAACCGTGGCTAGTGCTGCACCTGGGAGGTAGGGTAGGTCCTAGAGTCTTTTGGGAAAGCATGTGTGAGGAGGAGACTCAGGTAAATGGTCTCCAGGAAGTGACCTCACTTCCTTGACAAGGACCTAACAGTTCAGAACTCTCGTACCCAGACAGTCAACTGCCGAGGATCAGGTTAGCAGGGTCTTGTCCTTGAGACCCTAGAGAGAGCAGAATGTTCTCTTGCTGCCTTCAGACTACTCAAGGCTCTGGCCTCAAGAAGGACAACAGTGAAGGCCATGGCGGTGTTTGGAGACAGCAGGTCCGTTCTTGCCTCCAACGCCTCTGGCCATTTGGTAGGAAGGAAACAAACTTGACCAAGGGCAGCCAGAGTCAAGAACACACAGAACAGGTAACACTCTGAAGTCTGAGAACTTCCTCTGGTTTCACTTGGGGTGCTTGGCATTGCAATGGTTCAGGAAAACTCAGAGTGATAATAACCAATCAGAACGTGCAGTCCTGTACCTGCTTGAGCAATCCCCCATGATCTCTCCTCAGGTTGAGAAGGAGTCTGCACCGAAGAACCTGAAGAAGCCCTGTACAGAGTCCTGCATCAGTGCAGACATGGTGGAAAAGTTGGTGAACCACCTGGTACCTTCCCTGCAGGGTGGGGACCTCTTCTTTGTCCCTGCCTTTCTGTACACCTACCGAAGGTTTGCCACTACCCAGCAGGTGCTGGACCTGCTGTTCAAGCGGTGAGTGCCACCTCCAAGACCAGAGGCCTCAGATCCTCCTCTTGGTTCTAGGAAGCACTCTGCCTCTATCTGAGCCTACTTGTTTTCTAGAGTATTGTAGGATCCAGCAGCATGAAGTCAGAAAATGCTTCCTGAAGGTTAGGCTCTAGGGACTGGGGTGTCTAGATTGGGACTGTAATGAATGTGGGTGTCCCCTGAACCTTGAAGAAGCTCCCTGTCCATGATCAATTTTTAGATGCTTTGGCCAAAGCATTTTCCCATTTGTAAAGAAGGTTCTAGTGTAGTGAATTGAATGTGTAGTGAATGAGAGCCACGGGGAATAATTTGAGGGACTCCGTGCCCCCTGAAGTGTCTGGAGAGAGATGTCTGTGTTCAGCCATATGCAGACATTTCTGAAGCACCTACTGTGCAGGTGAGCAGAGAACTGGACCTCCTCTCCAGGAATGAACCTGGCCCCAAGATGTCTGTTAGCAGGGGGACCTGGGGCTTTAAGGTGACATCATTTCTGGTCTCCTCTAGGTATGAATACTTCCGCCCTTACTGTGAAGAGGATGAACAGGTAAAGAAGTAAGTGGACTTTACCACAGGAGGAAGGCCTTGTCTCTCCAGAGCGGGGTCATTTGTGTACCCAGGGTAAGGGATGGCTGATGACTGAGTGTCAACTTCTTCAAGTGTCTGCTCCCACACTGACGTGTAAGCATTTGTGCAGGGTGAGGAGAATTGCATGGGAAGATGTGGGAAACCTCTGCCCTCAGGTGCCCCTGTGAGACTCATGCCTGGCAGGTTTGGTCAGCTGTCCTCCATTAAAGCCCTGAGAAAGCTGTGTGCAGCTCCCTGTTCACAAGGCCCTCACATCTCTGCTCACTGTACTCATGTGCATAAGGGCTGGACGTCTTCTGCATTGCAGTGCTCACTGGGGGGAATCATTAGGGGGTTGAAAAGGAAAGTCCAGGCAACTAACTTTGTTGTCTATACTCTTCCCTAGGACCATTTGTACCTTCCTGGACACGTGGATGGACAAGAAACCTGAGGAATTTTGCCACACTTCAGCTCTGTCCATTGTGAAACAGATGAAGAACTACTTGATTGTACATACGCCCTACTCAGACCTTGTTCTTCGTGTCCATATGCTCCTGACTCATTTGGAGGAACAAAAGGCCACTGAAACAGAGGCCAAGGATGAAGAAGTCTCAGGTAGATGTTTGACAACCCTGTGAGGTATGTCAGTACCTGGTGTGCTGGGGGACGCTTGAAAGGCTCCTCTTTGCAGAAGTTATCACTGGACCCTAGCCTGACCACATCTCCTTTTGTAGGATAGGATCTGGGATTCCCAACAAACATGGTTTCCTCTGTGTTTGGAAAGAATGAGGAGGTGTCTCATCCTGGGTGTGTTGTTTCTAACTGTACCTCCAGCGCCACTTCCCCTTCTAGAGATGCTTGCATCTGCAGCACATCTGTCTCCATCCTTAGACCTGGGCAGCCACACATCTGCAGATCCAGAGCACTAGCCAGCAGTGAAGCCAGTCATCTGGAGCCAGAATCAACTTGTGCACCAGAGTCAAAGAGCACAAACACCACCAGAAGATTCCATGATACCTCTGCTGTTGGGACCAGACATGACAGCAGATTTGAGCCAGGACAGCAATAGCAGCTGCGGTTTCTGTGTGTCTCACCACAACAGGAGACGCTGAGCAACTTTCACACATCTTGCCTTAAGAGCAGTGTGTCCGGCTCCCCAGAGAACAGCCCTGCCACCCCTCTTTCCTCTGGTTGTCCATCTATATCTGCTCTGCAGACAGCACCAGAGTGACCGATTTCAATCCAGCACCAGTCACTGCACCACAGCCAACTTCCCCTCCCCCAAGAGATAGCCTCTTTAGTCTTCTGGCTCTTTTCAATGTGTGTGAAAAGTATGGTTTTAATAAAGCATTAGTGCCTGATTTTCATGGCCTTAATTATGGTTATGATGTCTACTCAGCATGCTTGTTCATGGCGATAGCAATGTCCCCAAGCAGATACATGAAGACCATAGTGGAGATAAGGAGGCAAAGCGCTTGCTTTGACAGAGGCCAGAAGAATGCCTGAGAGCTGTGCTGGACACACAGAGAGGTGAGGCTGACTGCTGCTTGTGCGCTGGGGGCCGAGCGGCCAGGGTCAGGCTGCCCAGGGGTCCTTCACAGGGACTTCTGCTTTAGCTTCAGGTTCCTTACATGGGGTGGCAGTACCATTTCAGGGTCTGATGAGGACAAAATGTCATGAGATCCCTGCTTCCCATGAGCACAAGGCCGGGCACACACCCACCATTGCTCATATTCAGTACACAGTTTGAAGAGTGAGTGTCAGAGTTTTCAAGACTCTTCTATGTTATTGATGATGTTTAAACCATGCTGATTTTCTTTAAGTAATGCCTAGCTTTTTGTCAATGTTGGGCATAGTCTGGGAGTGACATTGTCAAACTTTTATTTATATTTCCTTCTGTGTTTGTGGATATGACCTGGAAACAAACCAGCTGTGCTTCTGTGCTTTTTGGCTCTCCTCAGGAAAATTCCACTGGTGACTACCACCTGTTGATGTCCCACATATGTGACCTTGGACATCTAAGGCCCTTGTCTCCCCAATTGAAGCCAGTTAGGGTGTATAAGACTTCTTAGGGGTCACAGATCTGCTCATTATAGATTCCTAGGAGTGAAGGGACCCCTCCCTTCAGTCACCATGACACTTTTATGGGAAAAGATCAAACAAATTTTAGTTCTCTAGAGGCAAATGCCTATATTTCAGAGAGTCCATATAGCATGGGAATTGAGCTTCAGTAAGATCTGTGTAGGGTGAGATGAGTTGGGGGCCCAGTTGTGCAGGAAGTCATCTGACTGGTTCAGAATCAGCTTCTGGTGATGTGGAGTTAGTGTGCCAGTCCACCACAACAGGGGCAGTGGACTGGCCATGGCAAGATAGTACAAGAAATGTAATATGGTGAAGAGATGTATGTGTCTGTACACAAACAGAAATGGAAAGTGCTCTTACAGGTCACAGACTAATTGTATATGTAAAATAGTGAGCCTCCATGATATCATTAGAGCTAATAAGGGGTTGTCATGTCATAAGTGAATTATGGATAAAAACCTGCATCTTAGATCTTTATCAAAGGAAGAGCTGAAAATGAAATAACACAAAATTGTTATCACTAAAGTAATACAAATGATGATATTTAAAATGTCCACAGGGAAAACCAGAGCATTTTCACAATAAAGTTTGACTATCTAAACCTAGGAAAGAGATCCTGAATCCCCCTCTTCATGGACTGAAAGGCTCAATTTTCTCTCCAAATCTTCAGTATTGTTGTAGCTGGCACCATCATTGCTGTGACTGAGTGCTGTCCAACAGCACAGTAAGGAAAACCAAATTGTCTCTCAGCTTCACAGGCCTCAGTCCATCATGACAAGGAGGGCAGGTGCAGCTGAGCAGTACACACCACACTCGGTCAGGAAGCAGAAGAGAATTGGGTACTTGACTGGCTTTCTTCTTTGATTCTGTCCAGACCCCAGCCTGAGGAACACTGCTGTGCACATCCAGCGTGGGTGTGCCCTCATCAGTGAACCTCCTTACATGCCGCCACCACACGATACACACTCAGTTGTGCACACCCATCTCCTGGAGTTTCCTAAATGCACTCAAGACTCCAGTGAACATTAACCCTTCCATGCGTCAGTCTAACATTCAATGTGGACTTACTGTGGTAAGCCTGACCCCTGTGGTTTCTCCTTCCTAAAGATTCAGGATCAAGACAGGCCACAGTCGTGCTTCTTTCTGCAAAGGAGAGAGAGAGAGAGCAAAGAGCCTGTGTAACAGCAGGAAAGGGAAAGAGCCTAGGAGCCTTTGCTCTGAAAGACCCTTGGCAGTACCCTCGCTGTTATTCAGCAACAGCCTGGCACAGGGCTGTCTACTAACTTTCAGGAAGAGACCCAGTAGTCCAGCCCTTGCCTAGCATGTGTGAGACCCTGCAGTTGATCCCCATGACTACAAGAAGAAACCCAGTTTTCAGACATGTGTCTTTCACTTCCTATTTTTAGGCCTTATCTGTGGTAGATTCTCAAGCTACAGACCTTGATGTCCCTGAACTCTGTGAAATTTATAGTTCTATATTTTCGTTTAGTAGCTTGCACTTGGAAAAGCACATTGTGGGTCCCATGGAGGACCTCTCTACATAAGAGCTTCCCTGGATTTTCACTTAGCACATTACACAGAGGTTTGTTATGTCAGAAGGTAGTTAGGAAAGAACCATCACAGAGTTAATACGTAAATGATACATTCACACTAAGCAGAGGTCATTTGGTACTTTTCTGTTGCTGTGATAGGACCACAGCAACTTCAGAAGGAAGAGTCTACCTGGGGTTAGTTTCCAGAGGGAGGCACGTCCATGCTGGTGTAGCTGAGGCATGGCAGCCTGCAGAGAGAGCAAACTGCAAGTGATGGAGGCTTTTCAACCTCAAAGCCACCATAGTGCCATCTTACTTCAGCAGGATTGTGCAACTAAAACCTCCTCAAATAGCACTACCACCTAAGTACCTGAGACTATGGGGATTTATATTCAATCAACCACAGTTGTGTAATCAAACAAGCTTATGAATGAACAGATTTTAATCATCTCAATGGAAAAGCAAAAAGGAATTGTATTTCATAGTTTTCTGGTAGGAAACTGGCTGTAAGTGAATCACACTTGTGCAACTGTGATGATGGTCAACAATACTATGTGTCAATCATCACACCATTATACTCACAATTATCATCCTTGTCATGTTAAAACATTTAATTGAAATTTGATGTAATTCTCTTTGTACATTGGTCTTTAATGCACGTTCCTGGTTGGTGTAGGAAGTTCTTCTGTCTATGTGTTGCTTTCATTGGTTGAATAAAAAAACTGTCTTGGCCTTTTAATAGGGCAGCACTTAGATAGGTGGGGAAGACAGCACTGAATGGTGGGAAGAAGGCCAGTATGGCAGATGCCGTGGTTCTCCTGCCTGAGAAGGATGCTGGTTAAAATCTTTCCTGGTAAGCCACGACCTCGTGGTGATACACAGATTGGGTTAGATCAGGATGTGAGAATTGGCCAAGAAGAGCTTAGATATAATGGCCAGTCAGTGTTTAAATAAATGCAGTTTCTGTGTGATTATTTCAGGTGTAAGATAGCAAGGCAGCCAGGTCGACAAGCAGCCTGCTAGCTCCTACTACACCTGGTTCTTAAGAACAAGAGTTACTCTCTAGTTGAATAAGGTACAGAATAATAGAATGTGGAGTCAGGGAACAAGTTCTCTGGGCACCAACCTTTGTTGCCAGGGACCAGCCTCAGCAAAGAAGTAGGTCTCAAATCTGGAAGGCAAAAGAGTACACGAACACAGGATTCTGATGTAAGCTGACAGGCTATCAGATGCAGGGCAAGTTCTCCTCCCCCTCCCCCTCCCCCTCTTCTTCTTCTTCTTCTTCTTCTTCTTCTTCTTCTTCTTCTTCTTCTTCTTCTTCTTCTTCTTCTTCTTCTTCTTCTTCTTTCTTCTCTTCTTCCTCCTCTTACTGTCTTTCTGTTTCTCCTCCTCCTCGTCGTCGTCGTCGTCGTCGTCGTCCTCCTCCTCCTCCTCCTCCTCCTCCTCCTCCTCCTCCTCCTCCTTCTTATTCTTCTTCTTCCATCCTGAGCTTCAAACTGCAGTTTTTATTGTAAATTTTACACAAGGAAAATGATTCTTTTTTCTTGCCACAAGCCAATCATTACCTGGGCAAAGCAGTTCACAAGAAGTATGAAGATTCTTTGAAATCACAACATCATCATCAATCATGACATTTTCCCAGTTCCCAAGCCCCATGCCAGCCACTATATTCTTAACTCTTAGCTGAGTTAATCATAAAACAACTTTTCAGGCTTTCCCTCAGAGGCAAACTACTTGCTGTTAGAGAAGCATAGTTCAGTGGGTTTTACTCCATTGTCGTACCTTTCCCATTGTTTTCCCCCATATTTCCCAAAATTTTCTCACAATTCCAATTTTGATTTATTAGGCCATAGGCAGTCATCCCTAAAGCTGTAGGTTCTTCATAAACTTTATTTCCATAGCCAAGTTCTTTTTTGTTTTAGTATTATTCTTTTGTCGAGTTTTGTAACCAGACAAAGAACAATTTCTGCATTTCCCCCAAATTTCTCCAATTGTTTCATCAGTCAGGTTTCTTTTCTTCCATAACCTGTTTTATGGCTTCAATGCCTGCCCATTCTATCAGATTAGGAAGACTCATATTACCATATAGCATATCCATTCTTTCAGAAGCCACTGGTGTGAAAGAGAAAAAGAACATGGAGAACAAGTGTACTAGTAGAATTGCTATAACCAGAATCATCTGAGCTTTGCCAAGTGCGTATGCAGATGCCATAGAAGCAGTCCTCAGGGCACATAGGTGTTCTCTCCTTGGCCCTCAAGTAACTTGCTCATTGAGCTGCCACTGGGTTGCCTGGAGCGAATTACTTCCTGCAACT